TTAGTGTCCTTGTGGCATGGTGGGTAGCGTTCCCTGGTCATACGCACAAGGTCTAGGGTTCGAGTCCTGCCTGTGAAGATGTCTTGAATAAAGACGAAAGCTAAGGTGCTCCATTGTTTTCCTTTTCTCTGTGATGTTATCAAGATTTATCTTATTTACGTTTTCATTGTGGATCTACATGAGATATATATATATATATATATATATATATATATATATATATATATATATATATATATATATATATATATATATATATATATATATATATATATATATATATATATATATATATGTGTGTGTGTGTGTGTGTGTGTGTGTGTGTGTGCAGATCATCAACACAAAATGTGTGAATATTTATTTGCCAAAAACAATATATGGCCTAATCTACTCATGGCGTGCTCTACATTCATCCGACGGTAACTCCATAATTAAAGACGAAGAAGGCCTCCATCAGCGCTGGAAAGAGCACTACCACTCGCTGCTCAACAGAAACACAGATGTGGATGTCCTGACTACCCAGCAGGTCCCTCAGCATCCAGAGCTGACCCACCTCAGCTATCCTCCATCCCTGGATAAGGTAGCCACTGCCATCAAGAGATGAAAATAACGAAGCCACGAGGCCTGACGGAATCCCAGCCGAGGGTTTATCAGTAATGAGGTAACAACATCCTTACACTGCACTTCAACCATCGTCATTCATATAACTAATGCATTATTGTTTTATTGATTCTCCCCGTTAGCATAAAACTTCCTTAAAATGAATCACAAGAATCTGGTAACACTTAACCATAAACCCAGTGAGTGGTACAGGGATTTCTCTTAACTGAACAAAATCGCCTGGCGTTAGCCAGAATAAAATACCTTTAGGTTAAGGCGACACTACTCCTGATAGGGTTAATGTTGTTGTTAACGCTCTCAGTACAGTAATCGCTATCCCCTCCCCCCTAGCTTCCGAAGCCAGTCAGCTAAGTCCGATACTGAGACACTGCAACATCGCCAGGAGATGACAATTACTGTTTCTGACTGTACTGTACATACAGTACGTATGTGCGGCGAAATAATAATTTACATCCTAGCGTTCATACTTCCCTCCCATCTACACCGAAAATTATCTTGCTGAGAGCAATAAAATGTTATTGCCTTATGTAACTGTATCTCAGAATTACCTGATAACATTTTTTCACTGCCTGATTATTTTTACAGCAGTTTGCGGCAGGCGTTTCACAAGTACACCCTAATAAAAAAAATTTAACAGCTTTTATTATTAACTCCTTTAGTTGATGATCTCTCTTCCCTTTCTCTTCGCCGCAATGTTGCTTCACTCTCTCTTTTACAGTTACTTTAACGGACAATGTTCGGTGGATGTGGCATCCTGTGTACCGCCGGCAAGACCGTGGGCTCATAACATTCGACTTGCCCGCGGTGCCCACCGTTTCTGTGTGGCTGTGGGTCACACTATAATAACCCGTTATAGTACAACCTTCTTTCCTCACACAGCCAAACTGTGGAATGCTCTGCCTTCTTCTGTTTCCACACTCATACAATCTGTCTCCCTTCAAAAAGATGGTTGTCCGTCATCTCCGTGGTGTAGATTAACATAAACTTTCTTTATTATTATTATTATTTTTACACCCCCTAGGCCCCGTTAAGGATCGATGACCTGTGCCCAGGTGGGCTATTCCCCGTAAAGAAGAAAAAATGGCTTCCTCTTATATAACTCCCCTTCAATACAAATATTAACCTGGAGACGACTTAAAGGGAAACTGTTCGACAATAATTAAACACATGTAACTTCTTTTGCAGTAATTATCACACGAATTAAAAAAAAATCATTGTTCCAGCGAAGAAATAGCTTGAGACAGCACACAGACGGGCGAGTGACATATGTGACGCAGTGTAGGCTAGTACAGTGTAATAATTTCTCTCAACAGTCATTACCCCACGAGCTAGACTGTGGCCCTCACTACACTACTAGACTATGGTCCTCACTACACAACCTTGAACCGCCTTTACTTACTTGGTTCTTGCAGGAGACCGAGGGAGGGAACAGATTTATCATCGGTGACTCCGGTGTTTTGATCCGACCAGAGAGTAGCCATCATCCTGGAGCGTGAGTAGACATGAGCTGGGACAGAAGAGACAACAGGGAATGTGGTGGTGGCTAGGAGCAGGTAGACGGTAAGGGTGGACACAGACCATACCGCTATCCCACCAGTGGTTAAGGCTTGGTGATATGAGTAGGTCGCACAGGTGTTCCTTGCACATATTCCTCTAGTCCTCCCTCCTCTTTCGTCACCGTCTGGTTTTTCACTTTTCATATTTTATATTACAGTACATTTACCTTTTCTTTTTCTTAAGTTTGTGTGTGTGTGTGTGTGTGTGTGTGTGACAGGCAAGTTCCCGAGATTGCAGTATAAAATCACCCACTTTCAGAAACCGACTTCGGCCACTCCAATTGAGTAACAGTTTTGGTCATTCAACCAACTTGAAATCTTCGTATCGCGTTTTGAATTAGCGGAGACGTGTTTGTCGACAGAGTCTGGGAGACCTCAGTACCGGAGACGTGTGGTCGAGAGAGTCTGGGAGACCTCAGAACCGGAGACGTGTGGTCGAGAGAGTCTGGGAGACCTCAGTACCGGAGACGTGTGGTCGAGAGAGTCTGGGAGACCTCAGTACCGGAGACGTGTGGTCGAGAGAGTCTGGGAGACCTCAGTACCGGAGACGTGTGGTCGAGAGTCTGGGAGACCTCAATACCGGAGACGTGTGGTCGAGAGAGACTGGGAGACCTCAGTACCGGAGACGTGTGGTCGAGAGAGACTGGGAGACCTCAGTACCGGAGACGTGTGGTCGAGAGTCTGGGAGACCTCAGTCGTGCAGACAAGTGTGATCGCAGCAGCTTGATGACCGATGTGAGCTGCCCCCCAAGATCACCTCAACAAAGCCTGGTTGAAAGAATTTCTTATCATATTTCAGCTGATAATGTCGCGGCGGTCCCTGATATATGTTCTATTAACTGCCAGCACACCTGTAACACCGTCTCCCTTCCTGAGCTGGTGACACCTTCCTCCTTCCATCCTTTTTGAGCTGATGCCATACTCCTCCTCCCATCTCCCCCATATCTCGTTGCCAGTCTCCCCGCGAAATCACAAGCGGACGTTCTTGCCTAACTAATCTATTAACATTCTTTTCATCAGTTTTCGAATCGGTGGACGAGGGGCACAATTATGATGTGGTATATCTCGACTTTAGCAAAGCCTTCGACAGAGTCCCCCACGAAAGACTAATTAGAAAGGTAGAAGCTCATGGCATCAAAGGTGACATCCATAAATGGATTAGGGCGTGGTTACAGGACAGGAAACAGCGAGTGAGCATTAACGGCACTAAGTCCCATTGGAGCAACGTCACAAGTGGAGTTCCCCAAGGCTCAGTACTTGGACCATTATTATTTATTATATACATAAACGACATAGATATCGGCATTGACAGCAACATAAGTAAATTTGCTGATGACACTAAAATAGGACGTGTTATCAAATCTGACGAGGACTCGGCAAAACTACAGGAAGATCTAAACAAATTTTTCGAATGGTCTGAAAAATGGCAGATGAAATTCAACGTCGACAAATGTAAAGTACTCAGTATAGGAGATGTAAACAGGGAAACCAGATACCAGATGAACAACGATGCCATAGAGAAATCCGACTGCGAGAGAGATTTAGGAGTAATGATAAGTAGGAACCTTAAGCCAAGTAAACAATGTGTTTTTGCTCGTAACAAGGCTAATAAAGTACTTGGGTTCAAACAAAGGAGTGTTAGTTACAAGACTAGCGAGGTCATCCTAAATCTGTATCTTGCTCTTGTGAGACCACACCTGGATTACGCAGTTCAGTTCTGGTCACCGTATAACGGGATGGATATAGAATCCTTGGAAAGAATTCAGAGGAGAGTGACAGGACTAATCCCGGGCATTAGGAACCTTGAGTATAGAGACAGGTTAAAGCATCTTAATTTGCACTCCCTTGAGAGACGTAGAGCGAGGGGCGACCTGATAGAGGTGTATAAGTGGAAGGCAGAGCTAAACAAAGGGGACATTGCAAAGGTACTCAAACTATCCAACCAGGAGCGAACTCGTAACAATGGTTTTAAATTAGACAAATTTAGATTTAGGCGTGAAATAGGTAAACACTAGTTTGGAAACAGAGTAGTGGATGAATGGAACAAGTTACCAAATATCATCATTAACTCGACTACGCTGAATTGCTTCAAACATAGGTTGGATGCTCATATGAGCAATAGGGGTTGGGTGTAAACGGGACTGCCCAGTATGGGCCAATAGGCCCGCTGCAGTTTCCTCCATTCTTATGTTCTTATGTTCTCTGATCACTAATAACTCAGCAAGATAGGAAATGCCTGTCAGAGATATGGTTGCACATCAGGTATCCCGTGTCAAGTGCTTCGTTCCCGACTGACTTGAGCGAGTTAGGAGGCTTATCCACTAGATTATGCAAATCCTCAGTTAAATCCTGTGACCATGACATTATCTAGCCTGATTTTTTTGCCAAGAGGATATCGTCGCGTATGATGGATCAGTAGGTATTTGGATAGAACGTTTATTAATACACCTCCATATAGACGAGTGTTTTCCTTGATAGACACAAACACAAATAGTCAATGAGAGATAGGGGGGCAACAAGGCACCTGGAATACCCATGTCGCTGTATCTAATTTTTTTTCTCTCTGTTTTTTGACAAGTACTATCAGAAAATATAAATACCAACCTGGTAAACCGAACTTTTTCCCACTATAATCGTATCAGGGTGTCGTAAGAGATAACTGCAATGGATTACCTCCCACACAACACACAACATTGGCTTTGTACATATACTTTTTTAGCTCTGTCTATCTGGCGTCAAACTTACAGGTGTCACGTCCACTGCCTGTAAACGGTTGATTTATTTGTGCACTATATCAAGAGGCCAATATTATCCTTATCTAATTTATGATGTGCACACAGGATTCTGGGACGATACTTGTTGACGTGCACACAGGCTTCTGGGACGATACTTGTTGACGTGCACACAGGCTTCTGGGACGATACTTGTTGACGTGCACACATGCTTCTGGGACGATACTTGTTGACGTGCACACAGGCTTCTGGGACGATACTTGTTGACGTGCACACATGCTTCTGGGACGATACTTGTTGACGTGCACACATGCTTCTGGGACGATACTTGTTGACGTGCACACAGGCTTCTGGGACGATACTTGCTGACGTGCACACATGCTTCTGGGACGATACTTGTTGACGTGCACACATGCTTCTGGGACGATACTTGCTGACGCACACAGGCTTCACGACACACATGCTTCTGGGACGATACTTGCTGACGCACACATGCTTCTGGGACGATACTTGCTGACGTGCACACAGGCTTCTGGGACGATACTTGCTGACGTGCACACAGGCTTCTGGGACGATACTTGCTGACGTGCACACAGGCTTCTGGGACGATACTTGTTGACGTGCACACAGGCTTCTGGGACGATACTTGTTGACGTGCACACATGCTTCTGGGACGATACTTGTTGACGTGCACACATGCTTCTGGGACGATACTTGTTGACGCACACATGCTTCTGGGACGATACTTATTGACGTGCACACAGGCTTCTGGGACGACTTGCTGACGCACATGCTTCGATACTTGTTGACGTGCACACATGCTTGGACGATACTTGTTGACGTGCACACAGGCTTCTGGGACGATACTTGTTGACGTGCACACAGGCTTCTGGGACGATACTTGTTGACGTGCACACAGGCTTCTGGGACGATACTTGTTGACGTGCACACATGCTTCTGGGACGATACTTGTTGACGTGCACACAGGCTTCTGGGACGATACTTGTTGACGTGCACACATGCTTCTGGGACGATACTTGTTGACGTGCACACATGCTTCTGGGACGATACTTGTTGACGTGCACACAGCCTGACCCACGTTGTTCTACCTCGCAATATGCAGATGACTCATTCTTCTTGAGAGCGATTAGCACAGTATCCCATGGTTGCCTGACAGGATAACCGACAGTGCTATCAGGAGAGATAGTGGCTGATTGTGGGAAGATTTATCAAATATCAAGGACTACACCTGTCCTATTGGTTCATGCCCCAGGCTCGACAGAGGTTCTGAAGTATCATTACAGTAGAGTCACTGCCAGCATTAGCTTACTGTAGTCCTGGGTCACGAATCATTGACTGTGAAATCCACTTGTAACTTGTGTTCAATAATTGGGTTTATAACTGTTGTTTTTCTTTTAGGTTAAACTTTTATTTCTCTTATTTATTCGGTTTTTCCTTCAAAACGCAAAATAAACATGTGTTGTATTTTTTAATCATTAATAAATATATATACGGTCTGTAACACACTCGATAGTACCAAAAGCTTACTTACAGAGACGTGGATCTCATAATGCAGTATCGTCACTACTGATACTAGCAGAGCCTCGTCGACTAGTAGTCCGACTTGACTGCTATAGTCTCATTGACTTTTACGTAACTATAATGCTGATTAACGTAATAGTGCAATTTTCCTTTGTAATGCATAAAACTACAGTATTTCATTCACCTCAAATGTTTCCATGAACATTTCTGACGGGAAAGAAAACTCACGGGGGAGAAGGGAGGATTGTGTAAACAAGAGTGTCACAGGGAAAACCAGCGAGTGTCTGAAGCACCACCCTGGCCTTGGCTGTGCTGACATGAACTGCACGACGGCGGTGACTGACTTTGGGTGTTCCACTATTACCAAAGAGACAGAACAGCATAGCCCTTCTTTAAATGGGCGCTCGATCAAAGAAGGGGCCTTATTAAATATGTTCTCGATTGTAGGCTTAAGCTACGAGGTGCCTCCACTCACCCTGACGTACACGATCACAGCTGGTGAAGTGAGCAAATATTTACGGAAGTCTTGTAAACATCAACACCTCTTTAGGCCTACATATTCTTCATGGTCTTGAATGAAAAACAAGATAACTGGCGATGTGTTGGTAACTGATGGTTGGCTGGCAACACCTCAATATCATACTACCCATCTCATGTCGATAGTATTAACATGTTCAGGGATCATTTGTAGTATACACGTTCTATACACGTGCATCCAGACAGCTGTGGGACGAGGCGAGACAACTGAGATCGAATGTGCCACGTAACGGTGCAGCTGATGAGGTGAAGTGTGTGACCAGGCAAATTAAAGTGACCTGATCGAGGAACCTAGTGAAGTAACCTTGATGCGAGCCACGTGAAGCGATCTAGTGTGAAGACAGGGTGGCCGACTGCGGCAAGCAAAATGAGCGACCGGTCGCGGCTAGGAACGACGGAGGGCAAGGTCGGGCGGCCCGGCTGGTAGCATCAGGCAGGTGGGGGTTGACTCCCGTTCCAGCTGTGCGGGTTCAGCGACCCTGGTGCGCGCGATTAAAGCCCAATGGGAGCTGAAGTTGAAGCGGAAGATTGCCTAATAGAAAGTTCAGCAGGACAGATAATAAATGGGAAATCCAAGCCCAGGCGGACGTGCAGCAAGTCATGTTGGATATACAACTGGCGCAGCTAAAGCTGAGGGATGCAGCACGGGACTGGTCCCGCGTGGGTGTGCACCTGCGGGCTAGCCAGTGCAGGTCACTAGCTGCCTAAGTGGACCGGACGGCCAGGAATGGGCGCTCCTCCTAGGTGTCTCGGCCATCCCAAGACACGCTCCAGAGTGGAATCCGAGAAGTGGTCTCCTTATGTGGCAATGACCGGAGAAGTGGAGCCGTGGGTGCCGATGAAGGGCGGACTAGGCCTAACTTGGGGCGTGGGATGGGGCGGCACTCTACGCACTCTCGGGAAGCCTGGTGCCTCTCGCCGGACGGCTTCTGAGACCTCCCAGGCCCGGTCCTTGCAGGCAGTCGAGGCGTTGACCCCTATCAAACAAGTGACCGATTCTCGGAGCCTGGCGGGAAACGTGAGTACCAGCGAGGAGAAAATGTGATGTGACTCGAGCCCGGTTGGGAAGCCGGGACTCAGGGCCTCGTCTCGCAGATGATGGGGACAAGCTACAGGAAGGGTGGCAGAGTCAAAGGGGATCCGTGGATGCTCTACAAGTTAACAAGGTCGAGCTGCTCTGCGTCGAAGGGAACGACCACACCAAGGTCTGGCCCGCCGCTCGAGTTTTCGAACAGAACTTAGGAGAATGTCAAGTGATAACGATAACGAAGCCAAGTCTGCTGACACAGTACTGCAAGGGCGAAGGTCAGGAGCTGATCGAGATCTGTGACTACTAGGACGCCGACGAAAGGTACCTATTAGTCTGGCGGCTGCTGCGGCAATGCTACAGGGATCCAAGAAGCATCGCCGAGCAGTGGCTGGAGAAACTGAACGGTGGGCCAGGACGACCAAGACATCGTGCCGTCGCGTACATGGCGGTACATGGGTTTGGAAGGAGCTGTGACTAGGCTACCGCTTGAGCGTCGCTGGGGGTCCTGGGTTGTGGCCGAGAAAGGAGCCGCCAGCCTACATGTGCGAGCTGACAGCGGCAGTGGGGAGGCAAGGGTGTCTCTAGCGGAGCGGACCCGTGCAGGCAATGCAAGGGGGTGCACCTGCTGTCAAGCTGCTGCAAGTTGAAGAAAGCGTTGGCGATGTCACCGAAGGTCGTGATGACGTCTGCAAGAAATCCAGACCCGGGAAAACTCGGCGTGAGGTGCCCAAGAAGGCAGGGAAGGAGGTGATGGTGCGCCATTAGGGAGTCGCGCACACCAGGGTGTTGGCAGCTAATGTCACTTTAGTGGGCTCCTTACGTAAGTGCGCTATATAAAGTTCAGTAGATAACCTTCCTGTGATATCGATCACTCAATATATTTTCCCAAACTTTAAAGCATACAAAATTTTCTTTACAAGAGACAAAATAAACCAGTCAAACTTATCATCAACTTATGTAGCAACTTAGAATACATTTTATTTAAGTTAGATAAGGCTGGTGTGGTGGGTGTTTCTCGCTTCAGTAGTAATACACTGAGGCCGTCAGGTAAGAACCCCATACGGGCCTTCACAAATGGTGGATGTGAACTGAACATAACCTAACCTAACCTAACCTAACCTAACACAGGCATAATTCTTTAACGGTTCATTTCCGGGAGAAAAGAATTACATATTTGAAATCAGTAAAAATTCTACATTTAATAGATCAATTTAAAAAAAAAATAATAGTCCAAATCTTAGAAAAAATCCGTTACCATGGCTAAGAATGTTTTTTATATGTACTTCTATATTTTACAGGTTGGAGTACGATCAGGAAGTTGGAATTCTCAGTTATCTTCTGTTACTGATGTGTTGTGATGCCAGGCGTGGTGGGCTCCAGTATATGGGTGGTGGTGGTGGTGGCGAGTGTTGGATGTGTTGACCCCAAGATTTCAACCTTCACCTCTCCCTCGGCCTCCAGCCAAGTGGTGGTCGACAGGAGGAACTGCTGGGACGACCAACAGGGCTGCCAATCCCCCAGTACCAGCTTCACGCCCCCGCTGCGATACATAAATGACTCCAAAGCCTCTCCCGAAGTGTTGTCGACCGCCCGTCCCTTTCAGTGTTCCTTGGGTTTCAAGGTTACTCGTTTGGTGTTAAATCATACAAATAGTTTGACCCTAAAGACCTCTTATGTATCACCAGTGCCCAAGTCAACCAGCCCACAATCCTTAAATCAGCTACGACCTATTGCAATCACCCCAATACCCAGCCTAATCTGTGAAAGTTTTGTGTTCGACTGGGCTTATGCTGATATTGCAGGAGTCGTAGACCCTCAGCAATTTGGCAGTATGAAAACTTCCTCCACCACTCACTGTCTTGTCAGCTTTCTCGATTACATATATCGCGATCTCGAGAAACGAAAAACGTCTGTAGCTGTCGCCTTCATTGATTTCACTAAAGCATTCGATTTAGTCGACCACAATATAATCATCAACAAAGCTATTGACCTCGGGCTTCGGAGAAGTCTTATACCATGGCTTACAGACTTCCTCAGTGACCGACGCCAAGCTGTACGCTTTCGAGGGGCTGTCTCCACCTTTCAGTAACTCACTTGTGGCGTCCCCCAAGGCACCAAGATGGGACCACTCTGCTTCCTTATGCTCATCAATGATGCCCTAAGAGAAACTCCTGCTCGCTGGAAATATGTCGACGACTCCACCATTGGGATCAGCGTCAACAATTCTGCTCCCGACTATACCGCCCTTCAGGATTTATTGAACAGTCTCCAAAACTGGGCCACCAACAACCATGTCACCATCAACCATACTAAGACCATGGTTATGCACATCAACCTCTCCTCCGACATTGTCCCACCTCCTTCCATTACTTTAGGTCCGAACACACTCCAGGTTGTAGATTCCACGAAGCTTCTCGGCGTCACCATAGACAACAAACTAAATTGGAAACCACACGTCAGGGAAGTTGTCAAATTCTCCAGTTTCCGTCTCCACCTCCTCCGCCGACTCAAGTCCCTCGGAGTTCCTGCACCCGAGCTCCTCAGTGTTTACACAACATTCATACTTCCCAAGCTCACCTATGCCTCCCCTACCTGGTCTTCCTCCCTAAATTCCACACAACGTAAACACCTAGAAAAAGTGCAAAAGAGGGCATGCAAGATCATTCTCTCCCCTTCCTACTCCACATATCAAGAAGCGCTCAACACACTGACCCTTTCGACTCTCACTGACCATCACCACGACCTCATCTGCAAATTTGTTAAGAAGCTTCTACACCATCCTCGACACCTGCTCCTACTACCACCTGAGATCCCTAGCCCGAGAATTGCTGTTCGACACCACAACCGCATCCAGCCCATACGTGCACGAACTGATCGCTGTAAGAACAGCCCAGTACCAACCATTGTAAAAA